TAGTCCAACGAAGGGAATAATGAAGAAAATGAGGGTTATGAGAGACCGGCAGGGTGAAGGCCGACCGAAAGGGGTGATCGACCATAAGGAGGGCTGACCGCGAAGGGTGGTTGAGTGAAGGGACCGATCGTGAGGAGGGCCGACCGCGAAGTGTGGCTGAGTGGAGGGACCGACCGTGAGGAGGGCCGACTGCGAAGGGTGGCTGAGTAGAGGGACCGACCCTGAGGAGGGCCGACCGCAAAGGGTGGCCGAGTGGAGGGACCGACCGTGAGGAGGGCCGATCGTGAAGGGTGGCCGAGTAGTGGGGCTGACCATGAGGAAGGCCGACCCGCAGGTGACCGAGTGTTGGGGCCGACCATGAAGGGTGGCCTAGTGGAGGGATCGACCATGAGGAGGGCCAATCACGAAGGGTGGTTGGTATGGCGCGGGGCTTGAGAAGCGGCGGGGCACGTATTGAAGTGAAGTGGAAAAGATAAGGAAGGGGAAAGGGGCAGTGGATCGTGGTCGTACACGTGACAGAATCTCGTAGTAGGGAAGGTTAGGCGTTAGGCAAGAAATGAAATGATAGGTCAATATAGGGTGTTGAAAAGGCAGTTTTGGCAGATTTTTGAAAATTTTCAAACTAGCGAAATTTAATTGTGACCCTTGGGATATAGGCAAATCTTGGGATTTTGGTATTATACGTTTTACCTATCTTTTTGCAAAAAATCAAAACATCCCAAAACTAAACTCATTCGTTGCCAGTGATACACCCCTACAACACTTTGTGAACTTTCTCGCACCAGTATCTGAAGCTATTCGCAGACACACGAGAGAGATGGCCCAAGAAGAAGCAACAACCACAAGGGTTGATCCATTGGGTGACGACGATGCGATAGATTTGGCGGAGCAGTATCGTACGGAGCGTAGGGAGGGGGAGGGAGCAAGTTAAGCTGTGCGGGCTCTCTCTAAGACAATAATCTCGGTTGCGAGACCCATTAGCCAGGTGGAGCCGGACCATTGGCACACCAAACCGGACAAATCCATACTGACAGATGAGGAGTTGGAGGGAATAAGGAAGAAGTATCAAATTCCCTCGGAGATAGGGCTAAGATTGCCCACAACCAAGGAAAGGGCATCATATGTGTAGCCGGGCGAATTTAGCTTGTATGAGGAGGCGTTGTGAGGGGGTTTGAGGCTACCTCTCCCCCAAGTACTGGTGGATGTGCTAAACAAGCTAGAAGAGGCGCCAGGGCAACTGATGCCGAACGCCTAGAAAATAGTGATGGCTTGCGCGAGTGCCTGGCCGTAGGCGACCAGAGGGACAGCACTGATGGTAGAGGAGTTCTTCTCCTGCTACAAGGCCTCCAGTTAGCAGGAGATCTGGGTGACGCTGTAAGTAGTGGCGGGGCGAGGTCTGGTGGCGGGTCTGCCATCGTCGGTGAAGGAGTGGAGACCAAGATGGTTCTTTGTAACGGCGAACGATAGGGCCGGGATGCGAACAACGTGGAAGGTCCCCACCAAATCAGTTGAGCCGAAGTTAGACGGGGCGGCTGAAGACCGAGTGAAGAGGGTGAGGGAATGGAGGGAAGAGAAGGGGGTGAGGTGGGACGAGCTGGTCCTGCCTTCAACGTTGTTTGCCCTGAACTTGGGGCCACAACCGTTGGGGAAGGACCTAGTAAGGGAGGAGCTAAAGGCGCAACAGAAGGCGGAGGAGGAGGAGGAAAGCAGATTGTTCACCCGAGCGAACAAGTATAAGGAGACACAACTGGGGCCTGCTCCAAAGCCGATCACGAGGGGGCGAATCCGACGGCGCCCGAAGCAGTTAGGGGAGAAGGATCTGGGCGGCTTTGAGTCACGACCGCCCCCAGTGGATCCTCTGAAGGAGAGGAATAAGAAGGAGATGGAGGCGTTGTTGAAAAAGAAGAAGAAGAGGGTGAAGGAGAGTGAGGAGGAGCTCGCTTTGAAGAGGAGGAAGGAGGTGACGGTGGACGAGGCCCCCGAAGTGGGGTTGGAGGAAGCGTCAAAAGAGATGATGAGTGGGGTGACTGTCCTTGAAAAACAAGTTGAAGATAAGGTGACTGGGTCGAAGAGAGGGCAGAGTAGCAGCCAGAGGGAGAGGCTGCCCCCCAAGGAGAGGGAGAGGGGGTCAAATTGAAATCTGCTATCTACCACACTCTAGCAGTTTCAAGGCGACTAGAGGAAGAAAGAGGCCCAGCCAGGACTGCTGCCGACCGGCTCTTGGGCATGGTAGAGGAGGCGGCAGTACGTTCGATGGCCAGTTTTACTGAGGTCGAATTGCTAAAGGGGTTGTTCTGTGCTCAGATGGAGACAACTGCCTTAGCAGGAGCCCTACTGAGAAAGACTGCACTGCCAAGGGTGAAGTGAGGCCACTGAAGGTAAAGTTAGAGGAGGCGAAGGCCCAACTTGAAAGTTTAAGGAGAGAAACTGCCGGATGGAAGAAAACTGCGCGGAGTGTGTACGCGAGGGGGCTGGAAGAGGCCCAGAAGGCCAAGAAGATAGAAGTGTTGGTGATGGTACATGGCTATTCAACCGATCGAGCCATGCTGAGCTGCTTGCGACCACGTTAGAGCTGGAGGCGGAACGCCGCAAGGTGGTGTCGCTCGAGTTCTAACTAGTTGGCGAGCAAAAGAAGTTGGAAGATGCCCAAAAAGCCTACACTGTCGCCAACGATCGGTTTGAAGAGGCCATGACCAGCAATGAAGATCTGCGCACTCAGTAGGTCAAAGAAAAAGAAGAAGCTGACCTGAAGATCGCTAAGTTGGAGCGGGACCTGGCAGACGAGCGTGCCAAGGCAGCAGTAGAGAAGGCGGGGCTGGAGAAGGAGTTGGAGGAAGAAAAGACCAAGTCAGCCTCTGAAAGGGCAGCATACCCCAACTTATGCGTCGCAGCAGTAGAGCAGTTCAAGGGGTCTGCTGACTTTCAGATGGCTATCGATGCCGCGATCTCCCGCAACTTGGCAAGAGAGGGGTCTGGGGGGGCTGGCCCGTCGGGAGCGACCGCTGGGAGCAGGAGTGAAGAAGAAGTGATCCAGAGCTTCCAACGGTCAGACTTCTACAAACATGAGATGGCCGAGTTCTGGGACAGCGGCTGGAAGATGTTCAAACGCAAACACTACAAGAATTTACACATTTTGCGACCACTTTTGCCGACCAAAAAAATTTTGGTCGCGAAAAAATGACATTTGCCGACCAAAATATTAATTAGTCGCGAATGATAATTATTTTTGGCGACCAAAATGAGTTGGTCGCAAAAGGTCACATTTTGGCGACCAAAAATGAGTTAGTCGCAGAAATTGGTATGCTTTTGGCGACCAACTTCAAATTTGGTCGCGGAAGGTTACATTTTGGCGACCAAAAAAATTTAGTCGCCAAATTAGTACTTTTAGCAACTAATATTTTAGTCGCCGTTGATTGAGATTTGGCGACTAAAAAAATTTGTCGGCGAAGATACCTTTTCTGCGACCAATCTGGTCATTTGGTCGCGAAAAGTTTGGGAGGGAAATTTGAAACATGGAGGGGGAAATGAAAATTTTTTGCGACAAATAAAAAATTTGGTCGCCATTTATAAAACGACGTCGTTTTGTTCCCACTCTCTCTAAAAAATTTGGTCGCCATTTCTAATCCCGTCTCTCCTCTGTCTCCAGCTCGCTCTCTATGTCTCTCTATATGTTGATCCGCCCTCTCCCTCTCTCTGCATTCTCTCTCTCAATCGGTGCCCACTCTCTCTAGCTCACCGAAGTCCCTCACCACCATTGCTCACGTCCGTCGCACATCGCCATCGCTCTCTATCTAATGGACTCCTCATTTCTGTGGGATCCTCACCCAATCTCACTCTCATCGCTGACCGCCACCGCCACCGCCGCTGCCACATCCTCACAGGTTCTCTCTCACTCTCGGTCTATCTGTCTCTCTCTCTCTGTTTCTTGCTCTCTCCCTCTCTAGCCTTTGCCCTCGGTTTCTCTCTCTCTATATATATAATTTGGGGGCTATGGAAGAAGAGAGGATTGAGGTCATAAAGCAAACCAGTGTTGTGATGGATGTAATGTGGATTTATTGATTCGCAATCAAAAGCGAAAGCAACAAGGAAAAACTAATTTCTACAGTTCAGGACCTGTGCAAGGAAAAACCAATTTGCACAAGAACGAAAATAAGGGTTTCTTTAATTCATCGATGGTCTTGTTCAGGATTTCGAGTTATGTTTGCTGGTGTTATTATTGAGCAAAACTTGTATAGTTATGAGGTTAGGGGACTTCTCATGCCTTTTATGTGAAACGAACCCTTTTTAAGGTTATTTTGAGGTTTTTCCGTACTAGTGTACTGAAATCCTTATTTTTTTACACTGGTTTATAATTTTTTGCAAGAAACCCTTATTTTCGTTCTTGTGCAAATTGGGAACTTATTAAACTATAGAGAATTTTACCTTTATAAATTAACTAGTTATTCAATTGCTTGCGAGGAACGGTGTTCTGGAAACTCATGCTGTTGTTGCTGAACTGTTTTTTGTGAACCAATCCTTGTTGATATGGATTGCCTGGTTGAACTGGCAGAATGGTGAAAAGGATCATCAGTGGCCCGCTATAAAGCCTTTTATATATTAAATATTTATACTAGTAAATAGTTATAGAACTTGCTTGGTGTGAACCAAAAAGTGAGGAAGTATTGTTTTTTTCCTAATTGTAAATTTGCCTTGACAAACTGCATCAGTCTTTGATTAATTATATCGGTTTTTAATCCTTTCAACCCTATAAAAGCGTTTTTATTGATGTTGTGCATAAAAATTATATAGAGGTGAAGTATGGGGAGAGTGGCAAGAGCTTTACATCTCTTATAGATCCTTTGTTTGTTGCTTAGTTGCACGAACTGGGAGCAGTGGGGGGCAGGGTGGGAGCGAGGGAAGTTGCTTTGCTCTTGACTAGTCCGTGGTAGTTTTTTTGGCTTCATAGTGATAGAACATGTGCTAATTTCAAGTTGCTTTGATCTTTGTCCATCAAATGTGATTTATTTGAGTTGAGCCCAAAATTTCTGCATATTTGTTTCTTCATCAGTCTCATCTAAGTATAGGTTCATGCGGCTATTGAGGGAATATCCATTGGGGTCAGCGTCACAGGTTCTAACCAAGAGTGGGGACCAAAGTGCTTTCATAGTAAAGTCGTAGTCAGTGTAGAGCCAACGTCTGAATTTTGTATCTTGCACTTCAGAAACATCTACTGGATAGGCTGCCTGAAAAAGGTACAGATGAAAAGATTAGCAGCTAATATGAATACTTTCTGATCCATACAACACACCTTAACTATATTTTTAAATCTACTATCAGCTATTCATTATGGGACTTGTGAGCTCTAGAAATGTTCAAATAAAAGCAGGGGATTTTGTTGGGCTCTCAAGATGTACCTTAATCTTCTTATCAGTTGATGGGTTCTATTTGTATACCATTTGCATTAAGATTTCATGACGGGAAGGCAGTGGTGTAAATGTATCTTATTATATTATGCTTACATATACACTGCAATAAACCCATTGATTATGCTAGATCTTGTGTAACATAGCAACTACATAATATCAAAAACTGAAAAGGGTGGTTGTTAGACTTGAAGTTGAAATATTACTTGGTATATCTATCTATACATAATGCTATAATGAGTTACTGAGCACTTACACTAGCCAAGAGGCATGTCAATGATTGCATTTGGTTTCTTCGCACTGAGTCCCCAACAAAGGCCAAAGTCTTACCTCTAACAAGCTCCAAAAACTGAACTTTGTTGAAGAGAGGTAACTCACATTCATCTGGTTTCCACCTCCATTTCATAAATTCTGTGTCTGGTTTCCCAAACTTCATGCAGTTTTGTAAATCATCAATCACACATTTAGTCTCATTTGTGTAGTAAGGTTCCTTGGGATATGGAACCCAGTTTCCATTAAATATGTGACACTTCTGATCCAACTTAACATTTGTTGAATCATTGGTTGGATTCTGGGGAGAATGCAAAGCCAGGGACAAATTGTTTTCCTGAAAGAGAGGGACTGAGCTATTGATCTTAATCTCTACTGACTGTGTAATGAAGGGTGAGTTGTTATATAGATAGAGAGGGATTGTGGTGAGAAGAATTAGGATTAGCATTGGTAGGATAGCCTTTTTGGAGCTGTTGAGAGCTGTGCTCTTCCCACTGGGAAGCTCCATGGTATTGATCTTCATCTGAGAATAGTATGAAGTAGAAGCTTTACATTTGGTCTATGTATAGGTTTACTAATGTCCGAGATGAGTTTATATGGTTGAAATTTGGAATGTATTTTATATGAAATGTCATCTAGGTTATGAAGTTAAGTGCTCTTGGAATTTTTTTCCAAGGCTGGTTTGGAGTGAAAGCAAACAATTGTCATCATGATATATTATTGAAGGCAAAGTTGGACATTATCTTCCTTTCCCACTGTTCATTAGAAATTTATTATAGTATGTTAATAGTTTTTTCAATGTAGAGAAACCCTTGCATGCTCTAGAAGATTAAATGTAATGTTGATACTTGATACCATTAAATGGATATTTCAATATTTGATCCATTCATTGACATTTAAATTAAAATATTCATATACTTGAGTGGTTTCATTATATGTACAACATGTATTACTGGTTGCAGTTCAATATCTATCATTTTTCTGTCAAATGAAGATGTTTCTCTAATTTTTCTAGAAGCAAGATTTGAAGTACTGGGATGCTTACTAATTCTAATTTTAGGTATATTGCATGTGATTTTATGTAAACCTCTATGATCACTGATCAGGTGAGATGTCCCCAGCATAAGGTATGAACATGTATGATGAAGAGCCCTAATTTCTTACTTATTAAACAACAAGGTTCTGTGAATGCAGTGAATTATGATGGAAGTGTGTACCTACTAATTATTAGTCAAGATTTTTGTGACCAGCTTTTTTGATGTGCAGTTATTACAGACATCAATCATTTTTGTGTCCACCTCATGGCTAGAATTGCCAATGTTTCCTATAATCTGAAGGTGTTTTTTTGGTGGTGTTATCTACATAGCATAACTTGGTGGCAAAGTAGTTGATCATTACGATGCCTTGGCCACCACTTTTTTTAAAGGTTACGACATGACTTTTCATGTTAATATAATCATGATTTGTCCAATGAAGCTATAGCATTACCAAATTGGCATCAATTTAACACTATGGTTACCATTTGAATATGAAGCGTCTACACCTACCAATTTAACACTATGGTATAAGTTTATTGAGGCGATTAATAATTTTTTTAAACTTAGCTTGACTTGTTCATATGAAGAGCTAATATTGAACGAGTTTTCCTATGGTCATAAGCAGAAATGTTGATTTGGTCATAAGCAGAAAGATAATTAAGGGTGGGACTCATGTTGATTATGTTACCAACCAGATTACAAACTATGTAATGAGTATTGTTAATAAAAAGAATAAGAATGCTAATCTCAAAGCCCACGCAGTGAAGAACCATCTATGGGTTTTTGTCAATGCTCTTATTGGCAACCCAGCTTTTGATTCTCAAACCAAAGGGACTTTGACAATTCGGAGTATGAATCTTGGAAGGAATAAGAATGCTAATCCCTGTCCAATCTTACTTCCATTACTGTCTAATGGAACTGAAAGTGAGGTTTATAATAACTGGTATTTTTAAAAAAGAAAAGCTGTTTACTCCTTTTGTGAGCGTAATTTTGATGCTTTTGTGGTCAATTCTCCTGCAGTGACCAAGTCTGGAATAGTGGAAAGTCTCTTGTCATGGGTAGATTTTAAGCAGAGCAAGGATCTTAAGAAAACTGATGGGACAAAGAGGCAGAGGATAACTGGGATTACCAAACTAGAAGATGCTAATGATGCCGGAGGGAAGAGCTCTGATAAATGTACCTTGATTTTGACAGAAGGTGTTTCAGCGAAGGCACTTGCGGTAAGTTGTCTAGCTATTTAAGTAGTTTCAGTTGAGTTTGTTTTTTTTTTAGAGTTTTTAACTGATTTGAGTATATACAGATGGCACGAAAGGATATATGAATTTTGGATTAGACTGTTATAGGTTGTGCATCAAGGCTAGCTATTTTAACATAATCCTTTTAAGGCTAGCTACATTTTAAAAGCTTTGGGAGGTTTCTTTAAATAGTTTGTATGTATAAATTAGTAAAATAAAGTATGTAGATAAAAAAAATGATTAGACAAAATAAAGATTACTTTTTTTGTATTTTAACTAGTAAAAAATGAAGAGTATGGTTGGAGTTGCTCTTAAGGACCATTAAATGTGTTTTGCTTTTCATTGGTTACTGAATGCATTTATTTTTGGGAATTTTGCACTAATTTGGCACATTTGCTCAAAATAAAATAAGGTAACCTCACTATGGACCTTAAAATCTTCAAATTTCATGGTCAATCATTGTGATGCAGAGGACTACATTGTTGGATGTTTATGTAAAATTAGTTGAAATATGTGTAGCATTGGATCCATGACTTTGGGTTCCTCATGTCCTAGTAAAAAATGCTTGGACAATGTGGGTTTTGTTGCTCTGCTCTTTCTTTTTTAAACTTGTATGGTGGAATTTTATGCTTATGGGTATTTAGAAACTTTAATTTTTATAATGAGTTGATTTGAGGAAGGGAATGATTAAGTGGTTTTGTATTCTTCACAGTGTTCTGGGAATTATACTTGGAGGTGGAGTTGGGACTCGTCTTTACCCTCTTACAAAGAAGAGAAAACCAGCTGTTCCTTTAGGGGCAAATTATCACCTGATTGACATTCCAGTCAGCAATTGCCTGAACAGCAACATATCAAAGATCTATGTTCTTACACAATTCAATTCTGCATCTCTAAATCGTCACCTTTCACGGGCATACACAAGTACATGGGTGGCTACAAGAATGAAGGTTTTGTTGAAGTTCTTGCTGCTCAGCAAAGCCCGGAGAACCCCAATTGGTTCCAGGTAGTATACAATCTGAACTCTAAACCTTCTAGTCTTATACTGTGCAACAGCTTTTCATATTTGTGAGATTCCATAATATTTAATACAAAAGTCAATACTAGACCTCATTCTCTGTTTCTATACTTGAATTGTCACCTCACCTTTCTGTGCCATTTGCATATGAACAGCTACAGCTCTAATTCTATAAGTTCATTTTTGGTTCCTGTGGTTCAACAAATGAAATTATAGTTCCACATCGAAGGCTGTTCATAATTCTGAAAGTCCTTTGTTTGGTTCAATATTATGGCTGACGTGTTCTTCAATCAGGGGCCACAATATGTGTGCACTACTTTCTGGACCTTTGTTTAAACCAACTGTAGTGGAGTGCAGTAAGTGTTGATCTGTGCCCTTACATTTACTCCTTTCCTACACTTTTCTCAGTCATATTAAGCTGTGTGTGATGCCTGCTGAAATTTTGCATGATATCAATGGAAGTCCTGATAAATTCGGGCTTACATAGTAATTAGGTGCACAGTTGCAAGCATGTGGCTGAGCTGAAATATTTCTATTGATAATTTCAGTGTTTGTAGAATACTAACTTATATTAAAAGCCTATAGTGTGCATGTCTTAATTTATCCAGAACAGGTTGTATTTTTGTTCCAGCTGATTTTATCCAGAACAGGTTGTATATTTGTTCCAGTTGCTTTCTAAACTCCTCAATATGTTGAACAAGCACAATTAGGTGGATGATGAAAACTAGACATGCACAAACCTTTAGAAAAGCGTGAGAGACATGCAGAGTTAGACAATAAATTGCCAAATTTATTTATTTATTTATTTATTATTATCATTTTTTAATCTCAAAAAAATGTGTTTTCCTGTGATGTAGTTGCCTTCTATGTTGCTTGTGCAAGGAGCACTGCCAAATTTGTCAGCTCCTACAGCCTTATTGCAAACTGCAGATACCCACTCCTCCCATTTGATGCAGCCTCAGGCTTCATCTTATGGATCTATACCACCTTCACAGATACCTTCTTTGGGAATGTCTCCATCTCCTGGTAAAATCACACCATCAGCTTCTGTTTTTGTTTCCATTCACTTGAAATTTTCTTCTATATTTTTGTCATGTCCAATTCTATGGTTTCAGGGGCATTCATGGGGCAACAATTTCCCAATAATATGTCATTTCCCAGGTATTGTTGGCTGTCAATTGAAAAACCTTCCTTTCTAGAATATTACACAAGGAGGATATTTTTGAAAAAATTGTCTATGCTGCTATGTGACTACAATTATTAAGGAACTCACCATTTAATCAATTTGGCCTTTATTTTGAAATTGAATGCCCTTACCAATGTGCTTTCAAAATATTTATTTACACTTCATGAACTCAAAATGAAGATAATAATGTACAAATTTTGATGTGTGGGTAGGGAGTTTTATGCATGTACACATTGTGTCACTTCTGTTTTCGGTTGTTTTCTCTCTCTCTCTCTCTCTCTCTCTCATATGAATCTAAATATGATATGATATTTGCATCCAAAAGAATCAATCCTGAACCTCAATTTTGTTCATTGCAGACCACAAAAAGTTGACACTGTTAGTAGAGGTAACGATGCTTTTGCCTCCTTGAACCCAATTCAAATTAAATATAATTATGGGTTTCCTGCAACTGCATAACACGAGAAAGGAAATCTTTTACCAATATATGACTTTTTTTTTGAATTGATACTTATAATCCTTTTGCTGTATAGGAATTTGGTTCAAGTTTCAAATATATAAAATAGCTTTATACATGATGATGGAAAGTTATCTCTATGATCATTCAAATTAGAACCTCAATTCAGAACTATTCTATAGCAGCATAAGTTAAATAGATGAGGTGAATATAAATTGATTGTGAATTGGCCAGACCCAAGTTTATTGTCCTAGACATTTCTGCTAAGTTTTATTTTTTAGTTTTTATTTTTGGTGAATCATTGATTATTCCCTCAATTTTCCCATGAATAACAGGAATAAATTGGACATAATAGATTTTATCATTATCTTTTTTCTACAATTTTTCCTGGCATTATCTCTCTTTTGTTGATAGATTTTGTCATTAACAGGAATCATTTCTGCAGAGAAGTTAAAAAAGGTTGTGTGAGACCAAACAGCTCCCGGCATTATCTCTCTTTTGTTGATCAAGGTGGAGAGGGGAATCGATCAGAACTAGTAGAACCTCATCTGGTAGTCCAAATGGACACAGAGAGTTCTGTACTGTAGCAGAAAACCTGCCTCGACTATTGTTTTGAAAAACCAATAAAGGTGAGAAATTTATAATACATTCACATACGTAAAGAGCATTGCCTCGACTATTGGGTTCCAATTTCTCTATTTCGTTTATTTTTTAATTAATTTTATATATTTATCATGGTTCTCTGATAAATTTTCCAATTCTGTTTCTTTATTAGGTGCCTTACATCACTACTGCTTTGATGGATGCGAAGCTTGGCACGGAAGGCCGCAAGGATATTTTTGATTGGCTATCAAGGCAACTTAGTGGATTAAGCAATTTTCCTGATGCTGTAAATCTGAATTATGTATTGTTTCAAATTGTTATGCGAGATGGATGTGACTTGTGAATGAAAACTTAGAATAGTAATATTGTGTCGAATGTTAATGAATTATGTATTGTGTCGAATGTTAATGATTCAATTAATTTGAATGATACTTTAAAATTATAGGTTTATTATGGATTTAATGAATTATTAGGAATTACAGGTGTATTGTTTTCTTGCTTTGACGACCAATTTATTAGTCGCGACAAATAAATAATTTTTTTTCGCAAAAAATGACAACTGCCGACCAAGAGTTTTGGTCGCAAAAAATACATCTATTGCCGACCAAAACAGCTCTTGGTCGTGGAATCTCACTTTTGCCGACCAAAAGTTTTGGTCGCGAAAAGTAACAAATGGCGACCAAATTTTTTGGTCGCAGAAACTATTATTTAGCGACGAAGGGGTTTTGGTTGTGGAATGTAATTTTTGCTGACCAATTTTGTTGGTCGTTGGAAGTAATTTTTGCCGACCAAATTAGCGACAAATAAATTAGTCGCGGTAATTAAATATTTAGCGACCAAAAATTTAGTCGCGAAATCCAACTTTTGCCGACCAACCACAATTTTGGTCGCGAATTACTTTTGCCGACCCTCAATTGGCGACCAAAGTAGCGACCAAAAAAATTGGTCGCGGATAACTTTTGCCGACCAAAAATTGACTTTTAGCGACCAATTTTTTTGTTGGCAAAAGTGTTAATTCTTGTAGTGAAAGCAGAAGAGCTATTCCCAGACTTGGACTTCAACACTGTTAGAATAGAGGAAGACGATGTGGCCCAGACCCCCTTAGACGAAGGTGTGAACGAAGAAGACCTTGCTTCGAGCGAGGAAGATTGATGAAATGTAAATTTTGGCACTTGGCTTATAAATGGAATTTTTCTTGGTGTTTTGAGTGTTGTTGTTGTTTTTTTTTTTTTTTTTTTTTTTTTTTTTTTTTTTTTTTGAGAGTGTAATTTCAACAGCAAACTTATGTATAAATTTGTGAATAAATAAAATTCTGAGCTATGTTTGTCACACTGTGGCCTTTATTTTTGCAAATTTGAGAAGAATGAGAATGGTTATTCAAATAAGGTTTTTGTATAAATTGCAGTGAAAATTGAGAAGTAGGGAAACAGTCTGACTTGTAAGAAAACCACAATGTAGAGTGGAGTTTAAAATGTGAGAATGTCAAAAAATTTGAAGTTTCAAATCACGACCCAAAAGGGAGTCAGTCTGGCTTGTAAGGGTCCCAAAAAGTGAAGTTTTAAATCACGTTGTAAGGGTGTTGACAAATGAAAGGTTGGGTTGGGAAATGAAAGTTAAAAAATGTAAAGAGTGTTAAGAGGCGTAAAAACATGGACTTGGAATTTGACTAAGTATGGCAACTATGCCACAATCATGAAGTTGCAAGAATGGCCTTGGCCGAGTGCTTCATTCGTGCTCAGTTCGGGTTGAGCCACGATTAACTCGGTCGGGCTGTCTCTTCAAGTAACTCAGTCTGGCTGAGCTTTTCATGCTCAGTCTGGCTGAGGCTGTTTACGCTCAGTCTGGGTGAGGCTTTAAGAGACTCAATCTGGCTGAGCTCTTCATGCTCAGTCTGGCTGAGGCTTTAAGTGACTTAGTCTGGCTGAGCTCTTCATGCTCAGTTTGACTGAGGCTTGTCATGCTCAGTCTGACTAAGGCTTTAAGAGACTCAGTCTGGCTGAGCTCTTCATGCTCAGTCTGGCTGAGGCTTGTAACTGAGTGCTGCAATCAAGACGTTATTCAGGTACCACACAGATAATTGAGATATAAGATTGTTGTCGCGTAAAGTGTAGCCCATTTGATCATAAATTTACATCATATGAGAGAAGAAGAAGAACATTCAAGTGTATAGATTGCCAAAAAAGAAAATACAATAACTGGTCAATACAAGAATGGGGATTTATTGAAAATAACACTTCAAGTGTTCGGCGTTCCACGGATGTGGGAGGTCTTAGCCTTCCATGTCCTGAAGTCGGTAAGTGCCCAGACGATGTTTGGCTTTAAAAATGTAAGGTCCTTCCCACTTGGATGCCAGTTTGCCCTCAGTCGGATTTTTTGTGGCAAGGGTTGCTTCGCGCAGAACAAGGTCCCCCACAGCGAACTCCCTCGGTCGGACTTTACGTTTGTAGTGTGTTCTCATTCTCTGTTGGTATGAAGCCCGCTTGACAGCAGTGGTCTCTCGGAGCTCTTCAATTAGGTCTAGGTCTGCCCAACGCAGCTCCTCAGTTAGTTCTGGATTCGGATGTAGAATTCTTGGGGTTGGTAGACCGATTTCCGCTAGGATGACCACCTCAGCGCCGTATGTTAAGCGAAAGGGGGTCTCCTCAGTAGGGGTTCGAGCGGTAGTGCGGTAGGCCCAGAGTACATTCAGCAATTCCTCAGCTTAGAGTCCCTTAGCAGCTTCTAACTTAGTTTGAATGATCTTGAGAAGAGAATGGTTGGTAACCTCAACTTGGCCATTGGCTTGGGGATGACTTGGGGAAGAGAAACATGGCTGGATTTGAAGTTCTACACATAATTTCCTGAACTTGACATTGTCGAATTATTTTCCGTTGTCGAAGATGATGGCTTGAGGGATGCTAAATCTGCATACGATCGACTGCCAGATGAATCTGGTTGTGTTCCGCTCCGTAATTATGGCAAGGGGTTCTGTCTCCATCCATTTAGTGAAGTAATCAATGGCGACAATAGCGAATTTGGTTTAGCCTCGGCCAGTGGGTAATGGGCCAACTAGGTCGATCTCCCATTTGGCGAATGGGTAGGGCCTGCAAAGTGTGATCAATTATGTAGGAGGAGCATGGGGGATATTGGCAAAACACTGACACTTATCACATTTAAGCACGAAGTCTATCGCATCTTGATTGAGAGTAGGCTAGAAATAACCAGTGCGAAGTATTTTGTGGGCTAGGGCCCGGGCGCTCGAATGATTGCCATAGATACCCTCATGGACTTCCCTTATCACGTAGATTGCTTGAGCAGGATTGAGGCATTGCAGGTACGGACGTGAAAAATCGCGTTTGTATAAGAGGCCGCTGACAAGAATGTTGTTGGACGACCGGCCCCTGACTTTGGCGGCCTGCTGTTTGTCGGCTGGCAGTTCCCCCATTGTCAGAAATAAAAAGATGTCAGCCGCCCATTGTATAGGTTCATTTTGGAGGAAGTAGACTTGCTGCTGAGTTGGGGAAATGGCAGGGTGGGCCAGGTACTCGAGGCGGACACCGTGGCTAAGGTCTGACTGGTCTGCCGAAGCTAACTGAGCCATTTCATCTGCTTTGGAGTTTTCCGTCCGAGGGATGTGTTTGATGTGGAAATTATTGAAAAGGCGAGCGAGAGGGAGTGCGATAACCCTATAAGCCCGCATTGTGTCTTCGTTGGCATCAAATTCCGTCGTGATTTGTCCGACAATGAGCTGAGAATCGCTGAACACTTGGATGTGACTGACACTAATGTCTCTGGCGAGCCGAAAACCTGCGATCAATGCTTCATATTTAGCCTCATTATTGCTTGCGTTGAACAAGAAGCAGAGAGCACATTTGAAATAACCACCCTCACGAGCGCTGAGGATGAGACCAGCCCCACTGTTTTCTTTGCGAGATGATCCGTCAACATTGAGGGTCCAAGAGTGGGGGTCTTCTAGCTCGGTAAGGGGTGGCGGGGGCGGAGGAGCTGTGGTTGGAGTGGGATTAGTGAATTCCAGGATGAAATCGGCAACAACCTGCCCTTTAATCGCCGTTCGAGGCCGGTAGGAGATGTCAAATTGGCTGAGCTTGACCGACCATTGCATAAGTTTGCCGGAAAGTTCTGGTTGTTGCATTATCTTCTTCAATGGTTGGTCGGTGAGGACCACTATGGAATAGGCTTGGAAGTAAGGACGGAGTCGTCTGGAGGTGGTGACCAAGGCCAAAGACATTTTTTCTAACAACGGGTAGTTCTGTTCCGCTCCCCTGAGAGCCCGACTGATGTAGTAGACCAGTCACTGGACAGAGCTGTCTTCCCTGATGAGTGCAGCACTGACTGCGGTGTTTGACACGGCTAAATAAAGGAAGAGGGGTTCACTTGTGATTGCCTGAGAAAGTAGGGGGGTTGGCCATGCACTGTTTCAACTGCTGAAATGCCTCTTTAGACTCTGCCGTCCACTCAAAAGTTTGCCGAAGAATTTTGAAGAAAGGGAGGCACTTGTCCGTTGCGCGGGAAATGAAGAGGTTGAGGGTGGCAACTGGGCCAGTAAGCCTCTGAACCTCCTTAACCGTGCTGGGTGACTTCATTTCAATTAAGGCCTTGATCTTTTCGGGGTTAGCTTCGATGCCTCGCTTACTGACCATGAAACCCAAGAACTTTCCAGATCCTACGCCGAAAAAATGCTGTAAAATATTATATGCAGCATACAAAGTATGTCATAAATATATTAAAAATAACATTCTACAACATGCAAAATTATGCCATAGAAAGTATGATGATTTATGGCATGATGAAAATGTTATAAAAAATTATATACGATATACAAAGTATGTCATTAATATTTAATTTATTACTTTTTACAACTTTACCTGTACGGCGTAAATGATGCTCAATTTTTCACGGCATGTCATATAACGGCATTTGTGTGCATGCCGTGAAAGAGTTTTTACGGCATGCATTGCAAACCGTAAAAATTCAATTTTGCTGTAGTAAGAGGATGAGTTTGCATCTATGATTTGAAATTTGGGGCCAAAATATAATCTTTTAACTTTTTTTGTTTCAAATGTGATGGTGGGGTAAAATTGATAAGATTTCAAAAATTTTGGGAGTTAAATTAAAATTATTAAATGTCTAGGAGTGTCATTGAAAATCAAGACAAAGCATAGGAGTGAAAATAAAATTTTCTCTTTAAAAGAAGCTTGGATTTTTGGAGTTTTTTCGAAATTGAAGCAAAGTGGTTTGTGGTGCTGTTACAGAGGGAATGCATTTCAGAGATTATATGGCATAGATTTGGATTTCGAAAAGCACTTCGAGTGTGGGAATGGAAGAGGTGAATTGGCTACGGTGAGTACCCCGATGAGGAGTTGAGACAAGTGGTGTTGGTTAATGATGGTAATGTTTTGGTACAACTGTGTTTATGGTGGCT